TGTAAGTGCAAACATGATGGTGAATTAATTCCCTTTACCCCAGTCACCAGCAATGCTTGCTTAGAACTGTTAGTTCTCCACCTCTGGTTTTGTCTAGGCTCTTTCTTAAAGTTGGCATAGTCAAAGACTTGATCTCTGGTTTGATTTGCTTACATCAAATTTAACACAACATAGGAAATGTGATCTCAGACATCTTTCCACTTTAGGCATTTAAACTCAGTTACATACAAAGTTGATATAAGAGCTCCCCTGCTGGTACTTGGCTTTTGCCTCTGATCTGCACACTGGACTGCAAGTTGCTGCTTCACTCACCATCATCTTCATCTGCCACTTTCATCTCTTTCTCATCACCCTCATCTCGAGACCGCCCTGACATCAGTGCCAATTCCTTGATTACTTCTTCCATTGTCAACTTGGCATCAATGGCCAAAAAAGCATCTTCAAGTGCCTAATAAGAAAAAATAAAGGAAGACTTCTTTGTGACCACCATAAATATTAAAAACTATTTAAATAGCAACTTATCCAAGATGTATGATATAGTTCTTAATATCCCTAATAAACAGGCTAATACTATATTGCACCACAATTCATACCAGTGGACAGAAATATTTCTGTCACTTTCTCTTTCATTGTTACACAAAAAATAGCCAATTTCCAACCAGAATTGGCTTCATATTTATGCTAAATTCTAGTTTTTAACAAGCAATTTAGGTATTTTACAACTTAGTCAAAGAAAATATCTTAAAAGGATCAAGATGGCAAAGACTGGGGAAAGACGGAATGGAATCATGAAATGAATCCTTCACAGAATTAGAATTGTACTTCTTTGGCATGCTCTTCTATAATTTTGGAAGGTAGCCTTTCTATCTTACCTTTTGTAGTTTGCCTTCTTTATATGCTTTCTGATCCTTGATGATCTCTGGCAGGTATTTGGCACAATATAGAGCTACCTCTTCTCCTACAGCAAAGAGGTCAACAGTTAGAAACTGACAATCCTTTGTTTCATCCCACAAGTAACCTCTTGTTTGTTTTGGAGAAAATATGTTTTGGCATCCCAAAGCTAAACAAACAGAGTAGCGCTGAAATAACTCAAAGACCCATTTATTTGGCACACAGGAGTTAGCATTGAGTTAGGACCCTAGCATTGACAAATCCATCCTTCTACAAAAACCAGAGAGGTTAATCTGCTAGACCATTAAGACTTCCTACAAAGGCAATGTTGTAATAATACAGGTAGTCCTCGATCTACAACAGTTTATTTAGTCACCGTTCACAGTTACGGCACTGAAAAAAGTGACTTATGACCATTTTTCAGTTACCATCTTTCTGGTATCCCCATAATCAAAATTAAGATGCTTGGCAACTGGTTCATATTTATGACCTTTGCTGTGTCCCAAGATCATGTGAACACTTTTTGCAATCTTCTGACAAGCAGTGTCAATGGGGAAGCCAGATTCCCTTAACAACCGGGTTACTAACTTATCAATTCCCTTAACAACGGAGACAAGAAAGGTTGTAAAATGGGGCAAAATTCACTTAACAAATGTCTCACTTAACAACAGAAATTTTGAGTCCAATTGTGGTGGTAAGTTGAGGATTACCTGTGACTGGTTACCCTAGTCCAGGGGTAGGGAAACTTGGCTCTTCTATCACTTATGGACTTCAACTCCTAGAATTCCTGAGTGAGCCATAAAAGGTTCCCCATCCCTGGCCTACTGGTTTTTCAGTTATGGGGGAAATCCATTTTTGACTTGAATGGGACTGTTTAATATACAAATGGGACTGTTTAATATACAAATGGGACTGTTTAATATACAAATGTAGGACATATGTCCTACATTTGTATATTAAACAGTCCCATTCAAATCAAAAATGGATTTCCCCCACAACTGAAAAACCAGTAGGCCAGGGATGGGGAACCTTTTATGGCTCACTCAGGAATTCTAGGAGTTGAAGTCCATAAGTGATAGAAGAGCCAAGTTTCCCTACCCCTGGACTAGTCAGTTTCAATTAGAAACAAATGCCTGCATAAGTGTAAAGAACACCGGCAATGAGCCTCCTCGAGCTGTAAGGGCCTCGCAAGATAAGCCTTCTCAAAGCGCCCAGGCCCAACAGATGTCCTTAAACGAGTGGACACTTGGTTATTGGGTAACCCTTACCTCCATGACCATCGTACACAGAGAACATTGCAGTCTCACTGTCTAAATCGGGAATGCAGTTGTGAGCATCCTGAAAAAGAGAAGGATCGGTGAAGGGGGAAAACGGCGACTACAGCGGACCAAGCGCAATTTCAGACGGGGCCAAGAAAGCAGGCAGGTAAAACAAGCGCAACGGTCCCCCCCGCAGCCTGCCGGTGCCGCTGGGGCACCGAACTAGTAACAGCTCCTCCAATGTAAGGGGACTCCACGGCGGGGGCGGGGGGAGGTGTCCCTAGCCGTTAGCCCTGAGAATAATCAGAGCGCTTTCCCCACTGAAAGCCGCCATAAGAAGCGAGGCTGCGGCCTCCCGTAGGGCAGAATCGCCCAGCAAGACACCGTTCTCCCGCTCTCAGTCCGTCCCGCCCTCACCTCCATGGAGACCCGCCAGCCCTGCATGGCGCTGTAGCCGAAGTGAAGCGGGCGCGGCCCAATTCCGACACCATCCCCAGAGCTCTTGGCCGTGCTGGGCTGCGACAGGTAGGCACCCATGGCAAGGCAGCCGCGGGCCCCGCCGAGCCGAAGAAGGAAGAGCGGTAAAGACAGAAAGCAAACGACACAGGGAAGGCGACTTGGGGACCGGAAACAGACACCATAGAGTCCCCGCCGAGGAACCACGGGAACCGGATGTGAGGCCGATGAATGATACGAAGGGTGGGGGGGGGGGAAGAAGTTTCCAGAGCGGAGCCGTTGCTAGAGAGAGTGAGGGAAGTTGAAGGCAGTCGTAGGACAGAAGGGAATGAATGGGAGAGTTGGGAGGAGAGAAAGCCGGACGGGATGTTGCAAAATCATAGACTATGAGGAGGACAGGGCGTACCACTGGTTGCCGAGCAACTAAGGGGAAGGTCTGGAAGGTATTTTATTTCCATTTACTGAAGTGGAATTTCTCTTTGCAGTACTGCATTTCCTACGCAAGTCCACAGTACTGAATATCTTCGGAGATTCGCAGTCACCCAGATCATGGTTTGCACAAAGATGCACAAAAGTGTACTGGATACAGAGCCACTTCAATCAGTTCAAGCAGAGGGAATAGGAGGCAGTGGCATAGTCAAATCAAGTATCAATATGGTAATTTGTCAGATTGCTTAACAGACATTACATTACATATATAAGGGAGCTGTAGGCTAAAAGAATTGTTAAAAATGAAGGATTCCCTATATTAGGGAATTGGCAGTTAAAATGTGAAAATTATTGTCAGATTTGCTAATAAACTATTTTAAGGCAATAACTATAATTTGAAAACAATATTCTGTGCTCAAAATCATTTGGAATTGAAAATCAAACAGCCAATATGTACCTTTACAGAACTTTATGTGCACTTAGAACAGTATGTACAGTTGTATCTACTATAACTCAAAAAGGATATTGTAGAGTTAATAAAATGTGATTGGGTGGTTAAGATATGAAGAAAATCTATGTGATTGCTAGGAGTTGGCAGCAATTTGATGGAAAATACTTGTAATAAAAAATGGACTCAAGTTCAAATCTACAGGGAACTGGGTGACTTTAGGCTATACACTTGTAGCAATTGAACCAGTTTTGATGGTTTTAATAGAATTCTTTATTCTTTATTGGCCAAGTGTGATTGGACACACAAGGAATTTGTCTTGGTGCAAATGCTTTCAGTGCACATAAAAGATACATTCATCAAGAGTAAAAAATAAGGTACCATACTTAAGTCATAGGGTACAATAAGCAATCAAATCATACCAGGAAACAGTTAATATAAATTGTAAGGATACAAGCGACAACGTTACAGTCATACAGTCACAAGTGGGAGGGGATGTGCGATAAGAAGTGATGAGAAGATTAATAGTAATGCAGTCTTTGTGTCTAGTTGTTCTGGTGTGCAGTGCTCTATAGGGTCATTTTGAGGGAAGGAGTTGAAACAGTTTATGTCCTGGATGTGAGGGGTCTGTATTTTCACAGCCCTCTTTTTGACTGGTGCAGTATACAGATCCTCGATTGGAAGTAGGTAATTGTTTTTTCTGCAGTCCTAATTACACTCTGGAGTCTGTGTCTGTCTTGTTGGGTTGCAGAACTGAACCAGACAGTTATAGAGGTGCAGATGACACACTCAATAATTCCTTAGAGATTACATAAATTCATGATATTGCCTATTAACCAACATGACAATCACCAGTTGGGGATATGTATATCTCAGTACCAGCACCTGGAGAATTAGAAGCTTAATTAGGAAAATTCTGATATATGTTTTTACCTCATATCATCAAGGTTTGTGTAGTTTTTGACCAATTCCAGCAAAACTCTGATTTAGTTGACTATGCTTCAGTGTACTGTGATTATAGTCAGGTTATGTAGAAACCAGCTGTTAATTCGTGCATAAGTTTTCTGCTCCATTACCAATGTTCAGAACTATTATCAAGGACTGTTTCTTCCTAATTCAAAAACTTTACTACTATCAGAGGGAGCTTTTCTAACCCTGTATGGCATTTCAATGAGGAATCTAAGAGGAGCTTAGCCGCAGTCAATTTGCTTCACGCACCGCTTGGAAAGACGACTTTCTCGCACTGGCTCCGCAGACCGCTTGGAAATACGGAACAGCTCTCTACACGGGCTGGTTCTGGGTCACGCAAGACCCACTCCAAGTATCAACGTGCGCAGGAATATCTGGTTCCATTTTCTGCAGCCATAAAGACCCCGCCCTGTCGCCTTGTCCCACCGGAGCTCGGCGGACTGCTGGAGTTGAATGAGAACCACCGCGGGGCCCGCCTTGCAGCACTCTCTCCAATCCAAACGCGTCTTTGAGGCGCAGGTCGGCTTCTTATTGGCTCGACTAAATCCTGCCTCTGCCGTCCCTGGAGCGCTCCCCGTCGCAGCGCGGCTAGTCGTCTATCAGTTGGCTTCAGGTTGTGAGCTGTGGCGGAGGCTAGCCTGCGCCCCGGTGAGTTCTACCTTTGGGGCTGTCGTGGCTGGGGACAGCGGTCTCTTGTCGCCGGGGTGATAGCCATGTATGCGGCGAGGTCTTGTCACGCCGGGTTGGTGGAGCGTGAGGGACCGGCGGGCTCCCCCGTTTGCCCCGTGCGTTGAGGGGACGGGCCTGCGTAACTCTGGCGGAAGCGCGTCGTCCTGGTGCTGCGTCACGAACGGCCTCCGCCCCGCCTGCCCTCCTGTTGAGAGAAGGCTCTTCTCTTTCAACGTGTAGGTCGCCTTCTCCGTCGCGGCGATGTCTGAGGGCGAAACCAAGCAAGTATCCGGCAATATCGGTTCCGACCAGAAACCCGAGGCTGCGTCTGCGGGATCCGGCATGACCTCCCTTTCGCCGCCGCTAGCGGCGGCAACTCAAGAGGAGGAGGAAGAGGAGGAAGAAGAGGACGAGTCCGAAGACGAGTCCGAAATCTTGGAGGAATCACCTTGCGGGCGTTGGCAGAAGAGGCGGGAAGAGGTAGGTGACGAAGCCCGTGCGTTCCCACCATCTCTGGCTGAGGGGAAGCTGGCGCCTTTCGGAGGCCTGCACAAAAGAGAGCAACCCTGAGGAGGCTGGGGCTGTGGAAAAAGTTCCTTTCCCCAGAGCTGTGGGGGTCTCGTTCTGGGATCCGCGCTGCAGCGGTTCGTAGATAAACAGCTGTCAAAGACTATGACAGGGCCAGTTGGGTCGGATAGTGTGGAAGTTGAGATTTGACTAGTCATAAGCAGTTTTAGGATTTAGACAGTTGCCCCTTTTACCATAGATTTGGAAGTGTCAAGACATGAAAAGTACCCTAATAGTTATTTTAATACAGTGGTAGGTTTTGGGTGAAGTGCCTCTTTGTTTGTAATCATGGTATTCTAGACAGCATTTCAATCTGATATTTTCTTGTTTACAAATCTGAGGTTTTTGCCTTTATGTAAAAGGTATGTTTAGCTAGCTATGAATTGTCTGTTTTGATTGCTAGGATTTCTTGCCCAACCTTACCAATAGATAATGGGACTTGAACTAGGAAATCTGACTGAAAATTATGTGCTTTACAGCTGTTATAAAGGAACTCTTTATGCTGAAAGACAAACAATTTTAAAGATATGAGAAATTTATTGAGGTTTTATTACTTACTTTGCTGTTTTTGTTTTGTTGCTGTCCTCAGATGATTTTCAAAGTGACTACCAACACAAAATAAACACTTAAAAATTCAGAATCAAAGTCATAGAAGCTGATTTTAATGCCAGGATTGTAGATTGTAGTCCCTGAAGCCTCCCCTTTTTTTACTGTTGCCCAGAAAACAGCACAAACATGTCCATGAAATTACCAGAAGTCGAGTTTGACCTGAAGGGGATTTTAATTGAAGAGTTAACTAAAAAGAAAGACCTTCACTCCACTCTACTCTTGAAAGGAATATGATGGCCAAGCTCCAAGAATCTATAGCATGGGAATAACATAGGAAAAGGGTCATTCCTATATGTCTGGCAGTTGTTGAATCGTCTTTAATATATGGCTCTGGATATGATCCCATCTTTAGTTTTCTGATGCGGATTCAGTCCTTAAGAACCAATGGTTTTATTCTGTTTCCTTGATTGAAACTTGCTTGGGGTGTGTTCTGAGGAAGTGTCCTCTTCCTTGATATTTTAAATGCAGGACAATATCTCTTGCTGTTAAGGAAGTTATGAGTTAGAAGATATTTTGGATAATTTTAGGTGATTGGATTTGGCAGATTAACAAGCTCATAGCTTTATATTGAAGATTTTAGAACAGCCTTTTGAATAGAGGCTATTTCCCTTTTTTGAAGGGAAATGTGTTGACCTGAATATTCTGAAGTCAGTGTTGGGATAATAGCTTATTTGGCTGGGAAAAAAATAGCCATCGCTGATTTTGGGGAGAAATCGGTTTAGCTGGGCTAGCATAGATAATTACAGTGTTATCCTGTTCTGTGTATTGAAAGCCTTGATTTAGTCATCCTGATGGTTTATTTTCAGTTAGCTGTCATGAAGATTGACTGCTACTAGCCCTATTTCAAAAATTTTGCTGTGAGGGACTCAGCTAATTCTGGATTCTCTTCCGCTTTTTAATTCAACCCTAAATCCAATATAGGATGCATTGGAAAAACTTTCCTTTAAATATGCAAGTACATAAACTTTTAGATATACAAGATAGTTTTCCTTTGCTGAATACAGAAAGACTAGACTCATGCCCTTTTCCTTCTATGAATATCACTGTTATTAAAATAAAACACAATCGATGCTATGGAGTTCTCTATCAGAAAATGTACTGATGGTGACTACTGATGAACTAAGCCTGGGCTGGATGGCTTTTTGTTGATCAGGGATTTAACTTTCAGAAGAAGTTGAGGACTCGCAAGTGGGCAGGAGCACACTGTAACTAGTTTTGGAAGGAGTTTTTCTTTTTATAAAACAAATACATATTTGTACAGTACTGTTTTCTTTTTGAAACAGAAAATTATGCCTTGAATTTGCAGCAGTTACCCCAGAGGAATCTGATGGCCAGAAAAAAAGGGCTGTAGATCTGTAGCTCTCTTGCTTCTCATTTAGGCTATTAATGGCTACTGACCATTATGGATGCATATACCTCTATTATGAAGCAGTATATTTGACATAAAGAGCAGACAGCTTTTATATTTTCCTACTTGTGAACTATACATAGACACTGATATACCGTAGCAGCTTTATTAAGATTTTCTATTTCTTTTCATCTTAAAAAGTTAAGGCTAATAAGTTCTTCAGTAACATTGGAGGGGGATCAAGTTAACTTCCTTTACAGATTCTCTTTGTAGCCTTTGTTTAACACTCTATCTCCTCCCCTCTTGTGGTCCATAACTAAGTGTAGTGTTTTGTCCGGTCTTGAGCTTTGGTTGCTTTGTCTTTTGCCTTGTTTTCTTCCTCCTTTCTTAAAATAGATTTGCTAAAGCCTGCTAACCATGCCACCAGCACTTTATTTAGCTGGATGATTTTGTATTGCTGGTTTTCTCTACACATTTTTGACTCAGCACTTTAACATCCTCTGCTGTTTGCAGCTGTTCTCTAGGTCATGCCATTGTTTGATGTTCCCACTTTTCCCCATCCCCCTGTCTTTCAGGAGCAGCGTATACTTTTAAATATCTCTGAGATCATAATGAGGTTGACTCTCGGCTTGGTAATGATGTGTGACTCGCTGGCTTGACCCACAAGATGATTTGGCTACACATCAAGAAAAGGGAGGGGCAACAAAGAGACATGTGATTCCCTAACATGGGTGGTTGTGTAATTTTTGTCATACTGCCTTACCTAAGACTTCAGGAATCACTCGACTAGAATAGTTATGCTAGGGAATGTTCTTTTTAATTACTTTTTTTTTTTTTTAGTTCTAGGAGCTGTAGGGAATGTGTTGGTGATATCATTGGAGGGGTCAAAGCAAACTTTTTGTCTCTTGTGCTCCTGCCCCTTAATACAACACATGCATTCTTACTTGAAATTTAATATATATATATTTTAGTACTCTTTTAAAAATGAAAATCATTTAGCTATACTGTAATTTTGGTTTTATCCACTGAATTTTGGCAGCTTCAATTTGTGGGTTAAGGCTGCGGGCTGCCTTCTCTTGAATTTAACCTTTATAAAGAAAGCAGGAATTTGAAAAAACAACTGATACTGGAAACTTGAACTTAGAAGATTTGAGAATTATAAGACTTAAGAATAGGAAGTGCCCTGATCTTTAGAATAAAAGTCAAGGGAATGCTAAAAATAGGAGTGGCTCAGAAACATAATAATGCTAAGAAGACTTCTGTCATAGGCACAGTTCTCCTGCAGTTCTGTGATGCCAGAATTTACTTTCCTTCCATATTCAGAAAATCTCAGCATGGTTGGTATAAGAGACTCCTAGAGTTAATAACAAACGTAGAGGTCTTTATATTGAAGTGAAATTCAGGCAATTTTGGATCAAAACTAGAAATATTTTAAGGTTCAACTATTGTTTACTAAATAAATTACAGTTGGCTGAGTGTGTACAATATATACAACAATGTTTAATTAAAATGCTGTAGTTCACAGAGCATCTTGAGTTATAATCTCTTTTTTTTACCAGCACTGGTCAAAAGGGCCCAGCAGAGGGTATACTACCTCAGGAAACAAGTGAATGAAAAACTGCTGGTGACCTTTTACCGCTGCACCATAGACAGTATTTTAACTTACTGCACCTCTGTACGGTTTGCCAATTGCACAGTGGCAGATAGGACATCACTTCAGAGGTTAACATCATTGCCCAGAGGATCATTGGTTGCCCTTTCCCCTCTTTGGAAGAGCTTTATCTCCCGCTGCCTTAAGAAAGTTCAAAACATCCTTAAAGATCCATCTCATCCTGGGCACCCTTTTTTTGAACTATTACCATCTGGCAGATGGTGCAGGAGAATAAAAACAAGGACAAATAGGCTGAAAAACAGCTTCTATCCCAGGGCAGTAACTATATTGAATTATACTGTATAGTGCAATATTAATGCAATATCGGGTTTTCAATTCAATTGTATAGAATGTGTGTTTGTGTTTTATTTTTATAGTTATAATGTACAATGAAGATGGTATTTAATTTCGTTGTATGAGGTGCAGTGACAAAGTAAACTAAACTTATTTTAAGATGTTATATGAGCACAGTAATTGAATTCAAATATGGATATACTTACCAGTTTACAGATTCAAAGGGGGATTGGACAAATTCATGATTAATCGAAGCATGATGGGCAGTGGAAGTCAATAATTTATGGATCTGTCTGATGAGCACGATGACGCATGGAAGTTGTGATGTGGAATGTAAGAGGAGAAGTTGGGAAAGAATGTGAAAAAAACCCTTTGATACTTTGAAAAAGAGAACATAAAATTCAGTTACCTGTCTAATACAAGAATCTCTGACAGATAACCTGACAGATATAGCATATGTCTAGTGAAGGTGAATCTGAAGGCAGTCTGTTCAATTACTAAACAGCTCTTCATTTTAGGACATTTTCTTGATCTTCAGTTAAAATGTGTTCTCTTGTAATTTAAACCTACTTTTAAAAAATCCTTATAGCTGTGTTCATCCTGATTCAGATAGCAAACTAGAAATATACAGGTAGCCCTTGCTTAACAATTACCCTGTCTAGCAACTCTGAAGTTATGAGGGTGCGAAAAAGCAATTTTATGACCAGTCCTTGCATTTATAACCATTGTAGCATCTCTGGGGTCACATGATTGACATTTGGGAGTTTCACAATCAGTATCAGACAAGCAGTGGCAGCAGTAAAATTGCACATTACAGTCATATGATGTTTTGCTTAATGACCAACAGAGATTCTCTTTAACAGCTGTGAATGGGAGGTGACATAAGCCTGTTGTCATGGGATGTTTCCCTTAGTGACTATCTAGCTTAGTAATGGAATTCTTGGTTCCAGTTGTGATAATTGAGGACTACCTGTAAACATAAAATAGGTTTCTGGGAAATACTTTTAATCTTAGTCTGAGGTAATGTTTAAAACTGTGAGAATAAATTTGTAGCCAGAATTACAGCAAGTTTAAAGTCTTTTATATTTTCTTCCCATATCTCTCCTATGCAGGCTTTTAATATCTTTTCTCACATAAACGAAAATTCCTTATCTCCCATTTTCTTCCCATAGTTCTTCAAAAGCTATACGAGTGTGGTTCTCTGCACTTTGTTATATGGAAGTGAGAGTGTGATATATTACAAGAAACGTAACAGTAAGTTGAATGTAGCCAAAATTGGGTACTAAAGAAGCTATATGGTGAAACAAGAAATAGGACAAAAAAAATGGGTATTGAATGAATGTGAACTTTGAAGTGAGTGACCAGTATGAAAAGACATTGAGATGAGAATGAGTGGGGATCAGATTGCACAAAATATGAAAAATGAGTGAATGGGTTAAGAGGAAAAGGAAGTTCAATAGATGATTTGTTGGACAGTGTTGATGAGATTATGAAAAAGAGGGAAGTGGGTAGGTGAAATAATACAGACACTCTATGATGTGGAGTATAGACATGGTGAAAGAAATGGTTTGAAATGGATATAAAATTATGGAAAAATACAGTAAATTATGTTAGTTTAAATTAAATCTAGCTATGCTGGCTTTTGTGTTTTCCCATCTTTCAAAAAAAAAAAAATTCTTTAGCATACTATATATTCATTCCATTCTGAACTTGACAGAAAATAGGGTGATATATATGTTTGTTAATCTTGATGGTAGAACCATCCATCTATCCATCCATCCATCTTTAGTGTTTCTAGATCCCCCATTTTCCTCAAGGAAGGACTCAAATTCTAGTTGTGAATGAGCAACAGAGGAGTGCATTTATCATATCCTGCTTTTTATCTTACCAGATTCACCTATTTATTTGTTTTGTGAGTTTCATCTACATAGCCTTCAGTCAGATCCAGCAGGATTCATCTTACATTTTTAGGTCAAATAGCAACAAGTTGCAGATATAGCAACCTTTCTAGTCTGCCTGAAATTTGGAATCTATTTTTGTCTATCTCCATCTAGGTTAATCAACGCAATGTTCCTGGAATTGATAGTGCCTATTTGGCAATGGATACAGAAGAAGGTGTGGAGGTGGTTTGGAATGAAGTCCAGTTCTCTGAACGCAAGAATTTTAAGCTTCAAGAGGTTGGTGAAACTGGAATGAAGAGTTGTGAAAAGGCAGACAAGATATCTGTTGTATGAGGGCTCAAATTTTCTGTGACTATGAAGTTTCTTGAAATTAAGCATACAAGGAAAATGAAGGTGTTGTAGGATTATTTTCTATTGTTGGATAGTCTGCTTGCTTGACTTAAATTTAGCAATGCCTCCATTACCCTCCATCTTGCAGTCTGGGAGTAAATATGTATGAAGACCTGTGTGTGAAATAGATGAGCCCAGTTTCAGGCTGTGTTGAAACTCAATGGCATTTTCCTTTTCTTGAGTTATTTACATTACTTTGCTTTGCTGCTGCTACAGGAAAAGGTCAGAGCTGTCTTTGACAACTTGATCCAGTTGGAGCACCTGAACATTGTGAAATTCCATAAATACTGGGCAGATGTGAAAGAAAATAAAGCCAGGGTAAGTAGAATTTTGTGTGATTTATCAGTGTGGAAAAATATGAAGCACCAGCAGTTGATAACTTCCACCCTATTACTAGGTTATCTTCATTACGGAATACATGTCCTCTGGTAGCCTGAAGCAATTTTTGAAGAAAACAAAGAAGAACCATAAGACCATGAATGAAAAGGTAACTTCTTCCCAACTTCATACTCTCTTCCCAACTCCCTAAATTGTTGTGTGCTATTCTTCTTCTTTTTTGGGGGGTGTCTGTAGCCCTTGGCCAAGGTACTGTTGCTTCCCTTTCTGCCAAAGACTATGAGGAAAAAAATGGCTATCTTGCTCATAATGTTAGTAAGTCTGTTTCCTGCCCAAGAGTCCTGAGTTAATCCATCTAATTCTGGAGCAAAGTAATAGAAACCAGTTGTGATTTGCAAATCAAGAGTGCCCGGAAGTAAAGAAAATAGAAATGGCACTGTAGAGACACCAAATGATGACTTAGTTGTGCAGGAGATGCTGAAAACTTTTTGGTGATATTTCATTTGTTATTGCAGGCCTGGAAGCGTTGGTGCACCCAAATCCTTTCTGCCCTCAGGTATGTGCCTTTACATATATGAAAGGGAGGACAGTCTTGGGCACAATGTTGGTGTACAAATGATTACACTTTTTCAGAGGCTCAGTGGAATGTTTATATTTTTTATTGTATAAGAAAGGTTTTTGGAGAAAGTAAATGGAAGAACCGTGCTTCTTTTATTGCTTACTTTGGTTTTCAGAGCCTCTGGTGTACTATATGATATAGTTTCAGCAGCACAGTAAAGTTTTCCTTAGAAAGCTAATAAAAAGCACTTGGATTTCAAACAAACCTACCAACACAACTTTACATTCTTTGGATACCAGAAATAATGGAAATGAAGATTGGTTTTCTGTTACTAAAATATATATATTTCCTTTGTACCTGCAAACTGATTTTGCAAACTATGCATGTATATCTGGTAGCTGTGATTCACTCTATTGTATTGCTGTTCCAGTTACCTTCACTCCTGTGATCCTCCAATCATTCATGGAAACTTGACTTGTGATACCATCTTCATCCAGCACAATGGACTTATTAAGATTGGATCAGGTGAGACTGTTGTGGAATTAGTTTGTGATTTAATGTATGCTACAATTCCATTATTGGTTTGCTTTGTTCCCTGACATTGTTTCAAGCTTTATATTAGCCCAAGAAAACCTATAGGGCTTGGAGCATATATTGTTAGGTCTGTATGCAGGACTCTGTTGCAACTGGTGCCTCTAACTTATATCTGTTGTTGTTGACCTTTGGAAACTTCCTGGACCTTTTGCCACTTGCAGGCTGCTCTATCCTCTTTTTGTAGAGTCTCTGTTTACTCTTTTGCAGGCAGAAAACTCTGCTGTCAACTCATTTTTATCTCTGTCATTCAAACATTTGGAACCTTGGGGATGCTGCTTGTTCTTGGCTGCTTCCAAGCCAGTCTTACACTTGAACACACTGATTCATAAGAATTGTAGGGAAGACAGGATGGGCAGAGCTCTTTGTTTCACTTCTTCTTGGGCTGTCAGTTTCTTTTGGCCAGTTTTAGTTAGTGAGCTGTTAGTAAACAAAGTATCGCTGTTGGCTGCTCCATTTTTCACAAATATATGTTTAGCATTTCATCTCATATTTTTTTGTGCTGGTTATGTCCTATTCAATGAATTATGCCAGTTTAATTCATGAAAATTCTCAAAATTACTTTTGAAGCTTAGGGGACAGTTAATCATGGCCATGTTAACGCTGCAATTAAATTGATATAAACATAGTTTCTGGATAGTCAGTTGTGGGGAAAAACAAGACTCATACAAACGTAGTTGTGTTGGATCAAATCAAAGATCTCAGAAACCTATAATTCTATTTCCCCAATAGCCAATTTAGATTCCAGAGGGAAGTCTATAAGCTGGATAATATGAGCATTGTGCTTCTCATAGTACTTTATTTATTACATTTGTATATCCTGGCACACTCCCATTGAACTTTCAGAAATCAGTGATTTATATACATCATGTTTTTTATGTAAATATGCTGCCCCAGTATCCAAAATAACACAATGCTGTCATATTTTTAATTGCAATAGCAATAGTACTTAGATTTATATACTACTTCACAGATGCATACTACACACACACACACACACACACACACACACACACACACACACAAACACACACCATGAATGAAGTATCAGTAGTAAAATGAACATGGTTCTTGAAATAAGTTATTGTATTAACTGATCTAAGTGTCAATCTTAATGACATGAGATGTATCTTCTTGAAAGAAGTGCAAATTGGAACAACTCAAGCCTCCAAATAACAAAAATGTAGTTCCAAGAGATATGTAATGGAACAGTTCTTCACAAAAATCAAGATTTCTAATTCTGAAATTAATCATCTACTCTGGATAAAATTAATTGAGAGAAAGACCTTGAAATTGTTTCCTTGCCTTTTGAGATAGAGGAAGAATCTTTACTAGACTAAAAGGTTACTGATTCTGCAGTTAGGTTCATAGACATCTATCACGGCATCTGAAGGCCATTTTTGTAGTAATGATCTTCTATTAGGATTACTACATAATTAAACCCAAGAAGTAAACATAAAACAAACTTTGCTCAATACTGTTTGAATAGAGGGTCCTGTTAACTGGCCATCTCTTACAGAAGAACAAAAATAGAGCACTAGCCACCATGTGTAGTTTGTATTGTGTCTTGATGGACAGTTCTGTTGGTCTGAGGAAAGGGTGCATGGATTAGAATCTGCATGTTCTGTAATTCACATGAGTTGAGAATAAGTTGTGGTTGCTGTGCTTCCAGGACTGCTTTTCCCTGGGAATAAGAAATACTTATCTGTGTTTGTGTCACACAGAACTCTTGTGTGAAGTTATAATTCTTGAAAATAGCTATTTGAAATAAGTGCTTGCTTTTTCCTTTCTTTCTTCAGCATCCTAGTGACAATTATTAAGAATACTATAATGATGAAAAATTGATCACAGTAGGTAATGATATATGCCACTGAAATCTCATTAAATATTTTGAAAGGAAATTTAATGCACTCACCCTTTGCCTGTTTGATGGAATGTTAAGAAGGGAAGCAATCAGAAACATGTCAAATTCAGAAACGAGGAAGACTTCATGCAAGAACTCCATTGAAGAATAGGGAGGAGAAGGAAGCTAGGATGCTGAATGGCAGGAAAGGTAACCCATCCTGCATGGAACTGTCTCAGGAGTTAGGTAAAGAATTACACCTAGCTTCCTTAACTGCTTTATAGAAGCATAAGAGTGCAGTAGTGGGTTAATGAGGATCTAGTTCTTTCTTTGTCCTAATGTATTAAGAGTCATTCTTCATTTTTTTCTCTCCTCCTTAAAACAAACTTTATTTCTTTGAATATTAGAGTTCTTCCCATTCTTCCAATCTTCACTCTGCTTTTTCTTCGTCTTCCTCATTCTATTACCATAGTTCAGGCAAATGCATCCCAGTAGGTTTCCAAACTCAGCAACACCAGAGGCTACCCTTGAGGCGTCCAGAGACAGTGGTACAGAGGTGAGGTTGGAGAAATTGAACAACTAACTCAGAGGACAAGCTCTCAATGAGGTGTAGTCCAAAAGGGAGAGAAGGAAAGCTGCTGGGCTGCAACTTAGAAAATCTCTGATAGGGATTTACCTGGTAGAGAGTAACAATTCATTGGCTATACCCTTTCCTTGGGAATAGTTGGAAAAATACTAACATATTTAAAAATCCACATTTATTTTTGAAGATTGACGGGCTTGGAGATAGATAAACAGCATTTGTTTCTAACCCAGAGGTGTTGTACCCTATGAGAATGAAATGCAAGAAAGGTTTTTTTGTTTTCAGGCAGATCCTCCATCTGAACCTTTTCTCTTTTCCTCCTCCAAGGAAAGACACTTGGCCAGTGATCTAGGGCGTGTCAAATTTTTCAACTTTCAATTTCCAAACATTAGGGGTGCTCAAAAGTTGTGACATGCCTTGGGATTGTAAAGATATTTTGGCTACTTTAATATAATTTAGATGTGCTTGGTAAGTAACTACATAAATATCATAACTTTAACATTTTGTTTGTTTCATTGGCCACCCAACAGCAAGTCAAGAGAAAGAGTGGGTAGTGGTAGAGGGTGAAAAGATGGCTCTGGACTAAAGTGGATTCCGAGAAGTAGAAGATAATTTGCAGTTGATGGATGGCCAAATGTAGGTGGTATATTTGGCTCCTGTCTCCCTTCACATGGAGATTGTGTCCCCAAAACAGCTGAGCACTGACCTCCTTTGTAGATTTTTATAGAGGTTCAGGATAAAAAAAACACCCTTCACTCTGTCCTGATGAGACAAACACAGTCTGTCCCATTGCTACAGGAGGTACAGTGGCTTAGCTGAAAGGCTGGCTCTTCCATCAATTCTTGAGTTTTATTTCCTGCTGATGGGCTGCCTCTCTCTCTTTTTCTTTCTCTTTTGCCAACAGTCTTTCATAGGATTTTTGCTAATGGTGAGCAAATCTCTCTGCTCTGTGATGTGACTGTGACTTTCTAAAAATAATAATAATATATATATACACATAAATGGCATCATATATATATATATATATGCATTATATACAAAAGCTCCTTTTTCCCTTCAGTGTCCCTTGCTTATGACTAGTATAGTTGCGCCTGCCCTTGGCTCTTAGTTGGACAGGACTCCTGCCCTTCTCTCTCATTTCTGGTCTGTGTTTTCTCTGCTGTCCTGCTGCATGTTTCCTCCTGCATGTGAACTGCTCTTGTCTGAGGAGCGGCTGCTACCTCCTTCCCTTGCGGCCATGATTGGGATTTTGCTTGCTGCTTGCTTGTGGCTGGAGCTGTGGCCAGCTGTTTATAGGGATAATGGGTGAGGCTTATAAGAGTGCTAAAAGGTGGTCCAGTTTAGGGACATAACGTTGAATTCCCTTTGGGGGTTCTAGTTGAATCAGAAAATTAGGCTCTGCTTTGAAAGCTCTTATTTTGGAACTATTCAATTCCCTTCAGCTATAGAAGGATCCCTCGGGGATTTGCTTGCCTTCCCTATCCCAGTGCTAGGTATGGCAGGTAAGCAAGTCTTTCTGTTTATGGCAGAGTAGAGTGATTGAAACTGAACAATAAGACAGGTTGCCAGGAAAGAGCACAGAGAAGATGAATTTCTGGTGAAACTTTAGCCGAGTCTGGCAAACAGAAGACTGATTTTTAAAAAAAGAAAAAGCTCGGGTGGAAGAGAGATGCTGATGATGAGACTGTGGCTTTGAGTTTCCAGCTGAGAGAAACCCTTGGGATAATTGTATGTCCAACAATAAGGAAGACTGAAAAGAACTTTGTACCAAGTCCATGTGGTCCTTGGTCTAGGAAGTTCAGAAGATTGCAAAAAAACAGATGCCGTACTATGCTGAGAGGAGAGTGATGGCTGCCAAATGGCATGAAAAGGAGCACTATTCTTTTGCTTACACTATGCATATGATAGGACGAAGATGGAATTTCTTCCATTTCATTATCTGGATTTATACATCATGCTAAGCGATAATATAATTTATTTTAGACTTCCTGAATCCAGTTGTAGCTTAATCCTTAGTCAGTAGCAAAATGAGAGACGGTGAACCTAGCCTACATTTATTAAAATAAGTAGCATATTTTACAATACCTTATTATATTTTTATTATATTAAATAAATGTATATGTCCACCCAACTCATACACAGTGATTTTGAGCAGCTTACAACTTTAAAAATCCACAATCATTTATTAGTCTGTAAGCAGTGTTAAGAGATGGAGTTACTAGTGAGTTCATCCAGAAGTACAGAATGTATGCATTAGTTTTAGTCTGTTGAGAACACAGTTACATTGTGCATATTTAACTACTGGCATACTGTAAAACACCAGTGATCTTATTAATTTAAAATTGTATGTAAACCTTAGCATTAATGAACAGAAAGATAGTTATGAAAGAAACTAATTTTATAGAAAAATTGAAACATGAATATAATCAAATTAAAGAACTATAATAGTATTAATGAAGATTAGTACATGAAAGTTTATACCAAAATAACTAATGCCCTACAGTACTACTTGTTTAACAAGTACAGTCGCTACTTAAATTATTAGCAAGCAATTAATATAGTAAATAACAATAATTATAATTTGGGGAAAATGAGTTATTTTCATTGCTATTTATATTCATCTCTAGTTTGGTAAACAATATAGTACATATCGATGCATACATGGAATGCATATTTCTAACAGTGATTACTAATAGGAGCTACAACTACAGTTTCTCATTCTGAAAAAGGTTTTTTTTTTTTAAATGAGAACCTAAAAAGTGTTGCCTGGTAAAAGCTTTTTCAACTTGTTTTCAAGCTTTTACCAGATTTTTAGTTGATACAGAAAGTATATGGATATAAGGAAAGCAATGTATTGCAGGAAAATTTCAGACAGGAGCAAATATCTGGAAATACTTTATTAGAAAATAGACTTTGATATTAAGCTAAATCTAATATATTTTTAATTTGTTTGACCGCAGTAGAGGTGTTACTAGATCAGTTTTATTCTGGGCTGTAGTTTAAAGTATACAGACTTAGTCTGGTCCTGCCAGTATTTTTTTTTTCTGTTCAGTGGAAACAGTTGTGTAAGGTCCTTGGTGCTCTCTGAACTTGGCATATCAATAGGCACATACAGATAAACAACATCTACATAGCATTCAAAAGAAACAAGCAAAAAGCAAAAAAGGAAACAAAAAAACCCAAAACATCTCCTCACCAACAATCAACACCCAGATGAATAGAGATAACACCTAGATTAACATTAGGCCAACAGTGAAGAAACTACCATTTCGGATAAAAACACTAACAATAAACAACAGCCTAATCAAGGAACCACCAAGATCTCTCCTACCAACACTGACAGGACAAGCCATTAGTATATAAAATGGGAGCATACCCCACTCCCTTGTAGTACTGATGATGTTACCTAATTTGGTAATTAAATGTATGCAAAAAACCATAAGCTCAAAACACCAAGGACTCCAAGTTCAACACTGAGGTACAAATACTCTCTTCCATCAGAAGTCCTTTCTCATTAATGTTAGTCTCCCTCTGCTGCTTGACTTCCACAAGCTGGTTTTCTGTCATGTCAATAAGGTCTAAGGCTCTAAGCTCTTGAGAACTGGCAATTTCAGTCTATTCCTCTCACTTATCAAAAGGTGAGGCATGAACTAAAGTCTCTTAACACTGCTTAAATAGAGTGAATTAGCTTGAGCCTAAGGCTGGATTTGAACAATACAATTTGTACAATCTTAGTTAATAAATTAACCCATTTTCTGGGTCTGTTTAATATAAATAACAATAAACTAAATACACGGGCTAACTTTGCAGAATATCTAAACCATACATACAAAAGCAAAAAAAGTCAAGCCTTGCACGTTGTGTAAAGGCATCCACTAAGTCTTTAACTGAGATAATTAATATTGGAAGAACATAGCAAACAAGCAGTTCTTTATGGATAATACACAGGCTTGGGTTTTTCTTTCTTTCTTTTATGTCAGCCGAAGCTGTACCCTGTCCACAGTGGATCTTTATTGGTTTCCAAATTTTCTCAGGATGATTTTTGTATCTTGGCTAGAATGAGGTTTGTTGTGCCAGAAGCTTCTTTAGAATTTGTGGTAGTCATTCACTGACCGCTTTGTTTATCTTTATTTACTGGTCAATTTAGGGACTGTTTTAATAAGCAAGTTAAATATATTTTAAAAGAAATTATAAATGTTCAGGTGCTGCCAGAAGCATTGCTTTGTTTGCGGTATCAACTGAGAAAGTTGTGAAAAAAATAGGGGGTAAGTGCTGTTGAACAATTGGGCATGTTATTGGGAAGTTGCTTTCTTTGCATAAGACTGTAAGGTGATGGGTAAAGTACCAGCATTTTGGGATTTACTTTGAGCTTTGCCTGCATCTGTGCTTGCCTGGAAAAATAGTGGCTTGGTGCAGCTATCCAAAATAAAAAAATTATTAGGGAGAATGGGCTGTTTTACCTTCATCAACGGACAAAAGCTGCTCACCTATTCTAATAGCGTGTGTGTGTGTGTGTGTGTGTATACGTGTACACATACGGAGTCTAGTTTCTTCTCATGTCCGTTTCTTTAGAAAGATCAGATGGTTGCTTTGCCTGGCTTTGAGTTGACGCAGAAAAGACCTGGGGTTTCTGGAAGAGAATGTAGGCATCCCTTCTTTTTGCTTCTGAGTTCGCTTATGATGTGGTGCTGCCTGAAAGCTGGGGAGGCTGGACAAGAGCAGTGCTTCTTTGTTTGGGGTTCCTTGCAGAGATGAACTAGATGGAAGCTGCCTCAAGTTCCGTATAACAGAAAGGAAAGAGAGGCATGGACTCTGATCTCCTACAATTCTCTTCTCTTATAGTTGCCCCAGATACCATCAACAATCATGTGAAGACATGTCGTGAGGAGCAGAAGAACCTGCATTTCTTTGCTCCAGAGTATGGCGGTACGAATACGAGGGTATTGGGACCTGCAGTTCTGTAATAACTGCAGAAAAAGTGTTCAGTCTGTTCTCTCTGCCTTAGAGATAGCTTCTAATTATTATTCTTTGTTCCAGAAGTTGCACATGTGACTACAGCAGTGGACATCTACTCCTTTGGAATGTGTGCATTAGAGGTAAGTGGTGGGCAATTTAATATATGTACACCTGTACACAGGACCGTGAAATTAATTCCATGTTAAGATTATCTGGCAAATCGAACTGTGCTTTATCTTCCTTCTTATACAGGTGGTTCTCGGTTTACAACCATTCATTCAGTAATCCTTTGAATTTACAGTGGTGCTGAATGTTGCGGCCATCGCAGCATCCCTCGGAGTAGTGCGATTTTAATTTGGGTGCTTGGCAATTGCCTCACAATTTTGACAGTTGCAGCATCCTGTGGTCATGCGATCGCCACTTGCAGCCTTCACTGCCAGCTTCCCACGGGCAAAGTCCGTGGGGAAGCTGGCAGGAGGTTGCAAGTGCTGGTCATGTGATGTGGCATCTAACACCTGTATGTGGGATTTACTTAATGACTACAGCTAGAGCTGCTGTTGTAAAGAAGATGGGATAGTTTTTGTTATAACTTCAGGGTTTGGAGAACAGGCCCAAAGAGGTTCCATTATTTTTTCTCTTGTTTCCTTCCAACTAAGACTGTTTCTAAATTCCTTATATGATGTGAATCCTGAGAGGCTCTTGTTTGAAGGAATATATGACTAATAAAATTAAATGGTTGAAATGAAAGCAATTTCTTTGTTGACAGTAAAAATTAATCTAGTGGAAAGATAAAAATAGCTGTGTTGCTTTGGTTCACATATAGGGTGATGAGAAAAAAAATTATGTGGTGGCTGATAAAATTGTCTGATAAAAGGTGAACCTCTCTGGTGATCTAAAGATATTGGCCATTGACATCTGTTTCTATGCCGATAGATGGCAGTGCTGGAGATCCAGGGAAATGGCGAGTCTTCCTATGTGCCACAAGAAGCTATTAACAATGCCATCCAGTTGCTAGAGGATCCATTACAACGAGTAAGACTGTCCACAGTTCTTTTCCTTGCTTTCTTCTTCAATTCTTTTCCCAGTTCTCAGGACTAAGCACAAAGTTTGGTCTCCTTTTTCCTTTCTAGGAGTTTATTCAGAAGTGCCTGGAGCCACAACCTAGCAAACGGCCCACAGCTCGTGAGCTTCTCTTCCATCAGGCTTTGTTTGAAGTACCTTCTCTGAAACTTTTGGCAGCCCATTGCATTGTGGGTCATCAGCGTGAGTATAGCCAACAGAAGTCTGCAGACGGTTGCTAAGAGAAAAACCCTTCACTAGTGTGTAAAAATAATATTTTGTATGAAATGAATGTGTAGTTCAGTAACTAATACATCATAATATATCCAGAAATACCCCTAAATGAAATTACAAAGCAGAAAAACTCAAATCTACTAAAAGAAGGCAGCCAAGATGAACAGAGAAGTCAATAATAGCTTCCTTTGTATCTAAGCAAGATTGATCAGCCTGACAAATGAGTTTTGGATGCTCTCCAGTGGTGGGCTGCAAATTTTTAAAGAACCGGTTCTCTGGCTGGGTAGACATGGCCAATTGGTCATGTGACTGCATAGGTGACGTCACTCATCACACCCAACCCTGCTTCCCAGCAACTCGCCTCAAAGGCAGAGGTAGGATTCAGCTGGTTGGGGCTAATTCCATCACTGGCTGCCCCTGCCCCTGCCAGGTTTTCTGCCTGTTTTGGGGATGTTTGGGGACATTTTTCAGGTTGTTTTTGGCCTGAAAACAGCCAAAAAACGACCCTGAAAACAGCCCAAAAACAGGCCGAAAAAGAGGTGGGGCCAGGGCCAGCCAGTGGTGGGATTTTCTGGTTCGCTGAACTGCACCTAATCTTAACTGTGAATGGACAGCAGCCTGCCTCTGATGCTCTCACATATCTTCTCCTAGTGCCTCACAGTCATTATTCAGGCATTAGCAACCTACTTTCTCAAGATTGAGTTTCCATTATCATAATAGATAAATGAGGGAGATGTGTGGTTCAGAGATACGAAAAACACATATATAAATGTGGGTGGACTTCAGTCCAGCTCTCTTCATTTGGATAGTAGTAAAAAAGACCCAATAAACAAATATTAAATAGATTGTCTAAAATAATATGGTTTGGGGGGAGGGGAAGAGACATTGTAGTTTATCTCTAGAGTATCAGTTTGCATGGAGAGGGTGCCAACTTAATTCCGGGTAATGGTTTCAGTTAAAAGGATTAAATTAGCTAGGGTAATGTCTATTACCTCAATGAGATTGATCTCTTCCTAAGAATATAAAATATCCAGAGAGAGAGAGAGAGAGAGACTAGTATATGTGCAAAATTTTATAAATCTTCCTGTTGCACTTGTCTACCTATCCTTTATTTTTTGTTTGTATCCTGCCTTTATTATTTTTACAAATAAACTCAAGGTGGTGAACATATCCAACACAACTTCCTCCTATTTCCCTCACAACAACCCTATGAGGTGGGTTGGACTGAGAGAGAGGGAGAGAGAGACAGAGACAGAGAGATTGACCCAAAGTCATTCAGCTGGCTTTCATTTTTTTCTAAACTAAAAATAGTTTGTTTTTGTAGAAGGTTATATTGCTGTCAGTATTAATGCCCCTTTTTGGTACAAAATTAAAATACTTATAACCACTTAGGCTCCCTCAGTACATGTGTGAAGTTAAAATTCGCTGCACCAATGTTTAGAATTATGCATCAGTTTGAATTTAACATGTTCATTCCTCATGTGGACATCTTTTTAGAACACAATTTTAAAGTGTTTAAATTTTCATGATACTGAATAGTTAGTTCTCCACCTATAAATCATTTTCATCCCATCATTTCATTTATATATATATATATATATATATTTAATTTCTATGGCACATGTACAGCATTCTGGATAGCCGTGCTTCTTTCCCCCCTCTTTCTTCACGAGCATAGCAAGGGTGGGATGCTACCGGTTCTGCCCAACTATAGAACCGGTAGCTCTGAAGAGCAGCAGACACAGAACCGATGTTTGGCTCACCCCGCCGCCCGCCTAGGCTGTTATCTGACCTTTATTTCCTGCTTTTTCAACCTCAGTTGCTTTGCGCAGCACAGCTGAGGTTGAAAAAGCAGTAAAAAACTGGTGTTACTGGTAGTAACACCAGTTGAATCCCACCCCTGGAGCATAGTTAGTCTTTTACTGTATTTCTTAAATCTGCTTTTTAAAACTCTTCAGGGGAAAAATGGGAACCACATGTTTAGGGAACCACTGGTTATAACAGAGGGTTAGTAAAGGAAAAACAGTGTAATGTGTACGTTTTATTTTGTGATAGACATGATCCCAGAGAATGCACTTGAAGAGATGACCAAGAACTTGGACATGAGTGCTGTACTGGCTGAAATCAACCATGCTGACCGCGATGGTGTCCGTATGATGTGAGTTTGAATAGTTGGGAACTGAAAGGGGAGAGCGAGCTTTGAGGTGGAGTTTTGGAATTGAGTATTTCTCTGGTTCCATGCAATGAATTGAGGTCAGCAGAATATTAGATAGAATGGGAAGCAGTGGACAGTTGGCTCATTAAAGGGTGGGTGTACTTTATGCTGTAAAAGCTAAATTGGTGCTCTGCCTTGTCCTAGATTCTCACAGTCCCCAGCGCTGGAACTAGACAAATTCTTGGAAGATGTGAGGTATGCTCCTTTCTCCTGTAATGACTCTCAGTGGATTCTGCTACTGAAACTAGCTAATGTCCTGGGCAAGCCAACCTGCCCCTTTGTTGTTAGTTCACTGAATTAGCAGGCAATACATAGAGTTGAATTATTCCGTTTATGGTTCCACAGAAATGGAATTTATCCACTTACTGCCTTTGGGCTGCCCCGACCTCAGCAGCCCCAGCAGGAGGTGGTGAAATCTCCCATTGCCCCCCCATCAGTAAAGACTCCAACACCAGAGCCAGCAGAAGTGGAGACCCGCAAAGTGAGTGGCTGCTCCCTAATCCGCATCTCCTTGGCTGATAATAGTAAAGCCTCACCTTACCACACTCCTTTGTAATTTCCAGGTGCTGTTGATGCAGTGCAACATTGAATCAGTGGAGGAGGGCGTGAAGCACCATGTAGGTATCTGCCTCAAGCTGGGTGACTTATCTCAGTCTAGGGCTTCCATTTGCCTACAATGGCCTATTCCCTTTTGGGGCAGAATTCTACTTAGTGTTGAACACACTGAAGGTGAAAATGCAATTTCCTTTTTTCTTCTATGCCCCACCTTTCTTTCAGTTGACACTGCTGCTGAAACTAGAAGACAAATTGAATCGGCACTTGAGCTGTGACCTGCTGCCCAGTAAGTCCAGTCTTCTCTTCTCTTCTCTTCTCTTCTCTTCTCTTCTCTTCTCTTCTCTTCTCTTCTCTTCTCTTCTCTT